GTTTTATTTTCTGAAACTCAGAGTCCAGTTTACACCAAGCAGACATGCCACATTACCGAATTCACAACGGGAGTCAAGATCCCACCCATATTTAAGGTCTATACACACGAAGGCACAACATTTCCCAAAAGCATCACACAACATTTCTATGGCTGACTGTTATAAAGTTCTTTTAAGGCCTCCCTCAATCTTATGGCTCCATAGTTGGTTTTTCTACTAGTCTGGCTGTTCAAATTCAGCAAACAGCTGGTCCACCTCATGCCGCCCTGCCAGTAGCCTTTCCCCCTTTACCTCATGATCGTATTATATAATGCACAGCGCGCTGCAACAATCATAGGAATGTTTGCCTTGCTGAGATCCAATCTAGGCATTAAACATCACCAGCGAGTTTGGAGTCTCCCAAATGCATATCCAATGGTCATCCTGCACCTGCCCAGCCAGGAGTCGAATCTTTCCTTGGTTCTGTGGAGCTGGCAAGTGTATAGTTTCATGAGTCAGGGGGAGCAAGGGATATGCTTGGTCCTCCAGAATCACTGTGGGTATTTCAATATTGCTAATGTGACTGAATCAGTTGAGGAAGAATGTCCCTGCTTGCAAGTTTCTGAACAGTCCTGGGGAGGGATAGCTCAGTGGTTTGAGCATTGGCCTGCTAAACCCAGGGTTGTGAGTTCAATCCTTGAGGGGGCCATTTAGGGATCTGGGGCAAAAATCTGTCTGGGGATTGGTCCTGCTTTGAGCAGAGGGTTGGACTAGATGACCTCCCGAGGTCCCTTCCAACCCTGATATTCTATGATTCTTCAAGTGTCAGGCACCTTCCCTGACTAGCCCACATGGACATCAGTGAAGCATTCCTGGTGATCCACTAACACTTGTGTAACCATGCAAAAGTAATCTTTTCCGTTTACAGAGTCACTGGCCAGGATCTGTGTGCTGCCTGTCATCCCACCACAGTTCAGAAACACCGTCGCTGCAAATCCATCTACTTACTATTCCCTGCACATTGCCGAGAGTCACAGGCCTGCACAGCAGGAGACAGTTCATGACCTTGCATGTTTGAATGACGACAGCCCCCGCTATGGAGTTTCCAAATCTGATCTGATTGCCCGCTGCAGAATAGCAATCTGGCATTGTAAGCTTCCCAAGCACCACCGCCACTTGCTGTTGCACTGTCAGTGCAGGTCTTATTGTGGAGTCCCTGTGCCAGAGAGCAGGAATGTGGCTTTTCACATCCCAAGGTCCTGCCACCACTGCTCATCATCCCAAACCTACGTGACAGTGCCACCCCACCAGTCAGGACTTGGTTCTCCAGCCCAGAAGTGCCTAGCTTCTATGTAGAGCTGCTCCATGAACCCCAGCCACAACCTGACATTCTGATTTACTGTATCTGTCATCCTGCCATTGGCCTTGAACATCTCATTTTCCTCACAGTGCCACCAGTTGTAGCAGTAACTGCTGAGGTTCTGCAGATAGAGCAGAATCATACGTCCTGTATTAGCAATGCTCATGAAAATTGTGCTGAGCTGTGCAGGGTGCATGCTTCTGCCAGAGAGATGTCAGAGACTAAAACGTGGTGTGCAGAACTGTAGGAATTTTTAAAATGGAGTGAAAGTTATGGGATGGAATAAGCATTCTGTATTGGAGAGAGTGGGATTGTGGGAATTTGAGCCCTATTCCCAGAAATCCCTGGATGAATAGCTGGTATCCCACAAACAACTGCGAAAATGTCCGGATGGCAGTGTAGGGCATGCTGTGATACCTACCTATTGATGCAACCACCTCTGGTGAGTACATGCAGCACTGACGCAAGCAGCCAAGTGTGCACATGTCCAAATGCAATACAAAAGTCGGGGGCAACATAATTTATGTTGACCAAATTTTGTAGTGTAGCCTTTCAAGAGGCTGTTTGCAGTCAGGCAAAATGTGAGCCTTTTATTAATAATCTGAATGTGTCGCCAGAGAGACTCCACAAAGTAGCCTCTGCACAATCTAGGTAAACGAGAAAGGAGGAATGTAATTTATAGACTCACAGAGTTTAAGGCCAGGACCATTACATCATCTGCATAACTCAGGCCAAAGAATTTCACGCCATTACCCCTGTCTTGAGCCCAACAACTTGTGTTTGTCGGCAGCATCTCTTCCAGAAAGGCATCCAGTCTTGATTTGAAGACACAAAAAAAGACAGAGAATCCACCAACCAGGCAGTTTTTTTCCAATGATTAATCACCCTCACTGTTAAATATTATGCCCTATTTCAATTTGAATTTGTCTGCATTCAGCTTCTAAAAGCTCAGATGCTGTCAGCTGATTTATAAGACAGGCAAAGGGATTTATTAATCATATATGCTATTAATTAGAGCTTTAATATTGTAATGCCATTGGCCATTATCTTTGAAAACTCGTGGCGATCAGGGGAAGTCTCGGGCGATTGGAAAAAAGCAAATATAGTGCCCATCTTTAAAAAAGGGAAGAAGGAGAATCCGGGGAACTAGAGACCTCACCTCAGTCCCTGGCAAAATCATGAAGCACTTGGAGGAGAGGAAGGTGATCAGGAACAGTCAACATGGGCAAGTCATGCCTGACTAACCTGATTGCCTTCTATGATGA